GTCAATCACTTCCGTCTTCAAGAAGGGCACCAAAGTAGTTGATTTATCGACTGTCGCATCACCTGGTGACCCCATACGATGAAGCTGCTCCCCACACGACTACCTGCAGCCCAACGTAAACCCAGCCGAGAGTGCGGACGACCAGCTTTTCCTGGACATATCGCCCGTATGTCTTCCTCTTCGCTGGGTCATAAAGCACCAGCAGCCGAACCACCCACCAGATCAAGGACAGGGTACCAATTAGTGATGCAGGGTTCCCGATTAGCGTACAGACGGCTGCCGCTCCTGTGAATGTAAGTGGGTCCTGACGGCCACCATCGTAGTCAGATAGAAGAGCCATGTATGCCAGTGAACAGGACCGGAGAGTACCAATGCCCCCAGTCAGGCACGCCAGCATGGGTGATCTGTGACATAAGGGAGCAATCGTTTGGAATCTCTGGTGTTGGGGGAGGACTTCGAAACACTGCACATCCTGCGGCAAAAGTGCGTTCGTCGTGGCGGTGGATTTGAACGGAATTCCAGACGTCAACCCGAAGGCACCGCGATAAGCTTAGCGACCGCCTACCCCACCTACCTCAAGTACGGACACGACGTCGAGCGAGCTGCATCGCAGGTTGGTATTCACAAAGGTGCTGGTTTCGCTATCGCTCCTACCTAGCTGCCGACAGGTTAGTTCCGCCCGCGAATATTGTAGGCCAACGAGTCGTCAATATATGGGAGGGGAGGGGCTATCCGAGGAGGAAGGACTGTGTTGTTGGGGGCTTCTACTATTTGGTACCCTAACAGGCACGTCGAGTTTCTTGGGATGCCTGCTTCTGGCTTGGAGCATCGGGGTCTCATGGTACTTGTCTTCCACGTCAGGTTCGTTAGGAATGAGTTGTTCATACTTTTTATTGCCATTCGTAGCAACCCTAGGCCGTTTCGAATGCTTATAGCTGTCCTTATGTACGCACTACCCAACCCTGTGCTTTACTACGAACCCCTTCCACTGCAATGCTGTTTGATGATCGAAACTGTTTAGTAGATCCGCATGTGCCAGTACTGTCTGATACAGGAACATGGTTGCCAGATTAGATGACGGCCTCAACGGATAAAAGTCGCGGGAGTTGTATTTAAAAGGGAGATCGGCATAACACATCACACGTGTGTCTTCCTCGCCAACCCGTGCACTTGCTTGGTATGACTTTCGTCGTTGCATGAGCTCGTACTCGGGGCGATGGCTATTGCTGAGTTGACTCCCCGGTGGAGAGGGAGCGGGAGCGAGATATGGATTGTTAGACCGATGAGCTGAGTCATCGTGCTCCACCCTGGCGTCCGCCCGCGTCCATCCGCTATCAACCGTATCACACAGCAACAGGAAGAGGCTGTGTTTTGTCTGTGTTTTCGTCCTGCGTCGGATTCATGATGGCTACAGCAGTCCCCCCGTTATTCGTGGTGAGACTTTGTACACTTTCCAGTGTATTTTTCGTACAACTACTACTGTACAACCATCCAGGGTCACACAGGGTCGAACACGTGGACACCGGGGCTTCTTTCTTCTTATTTTTGTTTTCGTGCCCCACCTTCCTCCTGCGGCGCGTGCTGAATTTTATTTATTTTCGCGAATAGAGTCCAGCCTTCCCCTTCCCTCGTCAACGGTGCTAACGCACGGACCAAAACGTGCCCAGGCAACGAGAGGCCTAACGTCGACAACAATCTAAATGCGTATCAGCACCCTTATTGCGAACACGTCCGCCTCTTGGTGATAAACGTGGACGACGTCTTCGGCGCCAAGAAGAGTGTTCTTCATGTGTTTCGATGCCAACAAGTGGTCAGAAATCAGGCCCCGAAGTAGACCGAGCGCGAGGCTATAGTCTAATAGGGGAATTGGAGCCATCGACCGGGAGAACTACATCATTAATTTGTTGGAACCGAATTCAGTCTGCAGTATTCTACAGTAGTAGACTTTGTTTTTCGCAACGGGACGTGTCGGAGCTGGGTGTCACGTCTCAAATAAATTTGGTGATACGACCCCGCTGGTACGTCAAACACATGGCGATTGGATGTTGTACTGTGACTGTTTTTGATCTTCAGGTATGATAATATATCCCACGGCGATGCTCAACCTCCTTCGAATGACGGAAACACCAGCAAAACCACCTTTCTTTGACCAGGCATGTTGTAAATTGCATAGACTATAGACTATGTAATTGCAGAAAGGCTTCGTTTACGAACGACTCAAACCCTGCTCTACTGCTGTAGTCTACATGTGCATAACAACACACAATTAATCGCGGTTCACAACAGCAGCTGATGTATGTACGTACGTCTGCATATGCATACATTGTACGTCCATCCGTATCGACTGCTGGGTTTCAGACTATTAGACTACTGGGAGTCGAGACTTGATGTAGATTCTCTGTGACCCAAAGATGCATAGCACGGAGGCACGCGTGGCCTGTCAACACAAGTCAACACACCAATAATGGTCCGTCCTAGGTTAGTCACGGTATGTAGTCCGTCCTACAGTGGGTCGGCCACGGGCGGACGTCCACCGAAAGGTCAGGTAATTACGTAATCAATATTATGCACAGCCCTGGCCAAAACCGATTGGACTCTGTATGCGGACGAAAGGCACTTGAATCCTAACGTGCCTCAACTGCCAACTATCTTGCAAGGACGTTGTGCGTGCCACCTCTCGCCAACCTCACCTCAGTGCGATGCTAAATTGCTTCCTCATATGCCACATGGCCTTGACATGAAAAAGCACCACCAGGGAGAGCATCGTCACGAAGACGAGGACGAGCGCACTAACTATCGTTTCTGTTGAAGACATCTAGGACTAAGCGAACGTACCATGAACGCAGAAACAAACCACGGGCTGCACAGCTTAACGGCGCTGTGCTGGAACAGCGCTGGTTGTTGTCCGTGGGATCGCTTCGACTTCATCAATAGACTATTCGTAGCTGTCTACACAGATTTTTTTTTTTTGTTTATCGCACAACAAATCCATCTCTATCTATTGAAATACGTATTAGATTAGCAATGAATCCATGTTGCTCGTACTGTCGGTTACAGTTTTTTTTCTCGTAGTCACTTTGTTTACCGACCGGTCGTCCAGTCGATCCGAACGCGAGACGGCACGACACGTGAACCGACCGAGATAGTTTGGTAATAATTCCACGGATGGATCAGCTCCTCCTCTTCGAACAAGTGATGAAACCCAAGGAAAGCCCCCAAGAACAACCACCAGTGATTGTCCAGCACAGCGCTGCTGTTATAGCTATGCAGCCCGGGGTTGCTGTGCCTGCGTTTCTTGGATGTCTGCCACACACGCAAGAAGCAACAGTCACAGACTTGTTATTTTTACTCCGGAGCACATTTGTACACCCGTAGCCGTTTGGCCACCCTGGCAGGTGTTCGTGTGTCGACACGGACTGGTAGATCTGCCGACAACAACATACCATGACGGTTACTATGCGGTGGAACCTATGCGGTGGAACCTCTCGAGCTCTCTCGCACTTATCGGGAACTCACTCTTCCGACGCTCCCCTTTCGCGTGCTTAATACCAAACTGCCTTGTTGAGCCTGTTACCCACAGGGGAGTTATCGTTGTATGCTGTCTGGGAAACCGTAGACATACAGGTAGCCTTTCGCTCACGCTATGGATTTATTGCTAATCCATCTTCNGTCTGGGAAACCGTAGACATGCAGGTAGCCTTTCGCTCACGCTATGGATTTATTGCTAATCCATCTTAGACTTTTTTCTATGATGGAGATGGATTTATTTGTTGTGTGATATTAGTTACAACAAATCTCCCCCTTCCAAGTGGGGACATACAAACGTACGAAAATAAAAAATAAAAGATAAAACAAATCTCCCCCTTCCAAGTAAAGGATATACAAACGTACGAATACACTAGTGTACATCCCTCGAGGGAGTCCATTAGGAAATCGCGAACCGCGTAGCCGGGGAAAGTATCTCTGGCGGACCGTCGGAGGGAGACCAGAGCTCGGCAGAGCTCACGAGCCTCAAAGCGGATGTAGGCTCGCTCGCAGAGCAGATCAGCAAGTTGACGCTCCTGGCAGGCGAGCTAACACGAAGGGAGGAGGAGCCCAGCGACGCCAGAGGGAACGACGCTGGCCGCGGTGACGCTAGAGAGAGCGCCGCCGCGGTGTCTGCAGAAGTCCAAGAAGGGCATCGCAGACTGGACCGCGCAGGACGACACGTACCTGCGCGAACGTTTCGGAGACTCTGGTCCGGAAGGACGACACAGCGGCGAAGCAGGAGGCTGTGTCCCCCAAGAGGTGAGAGTAGCCGCTGCTCACAATCCAGGTGCTGTTAGTAGCACCATAGGAGGTGGTGCTGCTGCTGGCTTTGTCGGCGGCTTCGGTATTCCTGTCGGGAGTGCAGGATACCAGATCGTGAGGTACTCCTCACCCCCGTTTGACGGGAAAGCAAAAAATTTTAATCATGGCTTCAAGATTTCTGCCTGGTAGCAAATGGAGCAAACCTGTTGAACCACCTTCAGGAGGGGACAATGGAGATCCCTGTGAATAGCGGACGAAGCAAATCCTCATTGTGCCAACAACACCCAGCCGAGCAAGTTGAGCTCGCGTTTCATGCGTGAGATTGTCTGAACCACGCTCTCATCAAAGAGGACGATAAAAAGTCGATGAAAAGGGCAGATACGCCTCAGGGAGCCATCCGGGAGTTGAAAGGAATGTACGACCCGGAATCAGCAATGCAACCGGTTGACGACTTGGATGCGTTCATGACATTTACGGTCCCCACGAATAAGAACCCACAACTTGTTCTCCGCGACATGCTAGCAACTGGTGAACGACTTATCCAAGAAGGGCTAGGTATCAACGAAGGATTTGTTCTCCACCGCTTAGTGTCCGCCCTTTCGGATGAGTACGCTATGACGAAGCATGCCCTGCGACGCACGAAAAAGCTGACCAAGGAGTAAGTGATTAGGGAGATCGCAATCGAGTACAAAGCGATCCTGGAGAAACAAATGAAACGATACGGCGCACGAGGCGCCGAAAGGGCCTACATCGCCGACGGCGGCGACCGGAAGGGCCAGCCTTCTAGCCGTCGCCGCGGTCGTGGCGGCCGAGGTCGTGGAGGCGGCCGCAACGGTGGCCGCGGCGGTCGAAGCGGTGGCCGCGGCGGTCGCAGCGGTGGCCGCGGCGGCGGCAACGGCGGGGGCGGCGGCGGCGTCGAGGAGAGCAAGGGAGATGGATCTGGAGGAGCAGGCGGCGGCGGCAGTGGCGGGGGCACGAGGTTCCCTGGCCGGTGCTACCGGTGCGGTCACGTCGGGCACCAGATTGCTGACTGCACCACCGAGGAGAAGGACTTCATTCCGCGTTGCGGGAAATGCGCAGGGTGGGGTCACAAGGAGGACAAATGCGCTACGGAGGAGGCTGTCCTGGCTCAAGTCGTGAGCTACGCGAGCGACGACGACTCCGCCACTGGCCAGGCATTCTGTGCCGTGGCACAACCCCCAGGCGAGTGTGGTATCGTTGATCTTGGTCTAGTGGGGGTTGAAGAACTTGGCCAGGATGTCATGCAGTACGTGGCTGACACGGCAGCCACGTGCTCCATGTTCCGATGTGCGAATGCCTTCGTGAACTACCGTGAGTGCAACGGTTGGGTGCGGGGAATTGGTGGTGACAAAGCCCCTGTTCCCCTCCTAGGATACGGAGACGTGGTCGTAGTCCTCAAATCGGAAGGTGGTTGGGTGCCTGCCTGTACCCATTTCGAATGCAGCTCATGTACCTGAAGCCCCCTACAACCTCCTTTCTCTTACCAAGTTGGCCGAGGAAGGCCACAAGTACTCGGGGCAGAAAGGGGGACTCACGTTGACCACGAAGGCCGGTGGGGG